AATGACCGCATGCGTGTTACCAAAATGTCCGGTAAAGGGGTACTTTTCGTGCAACAAAGTCCGGCCCGAGAATTGTATTAAAAAAAAGGGGTGTATTTGACTTTTCACCCGAAGATTTCTTTAAAAAGGGGGTGTTTTTCTTTTTCTCTCTCATCTCTTTGGACTCCTGAAAAATTATTCCGAATTTAGGGGGGTACATTGAGCATTTTTCCGTATTTAGGGGGGTCTCCAAGGCAGGAAAAGCCCGCGAAGGGGGGTTTGGAAATGTTGGCATTCCTCAGATAGGGGGTGCTTTCAAAAAGAGGGAACGAGCATACGCGTACCCTATATAACACTGAGTGGGGGGGGGGGGGGGGCGGGGTTTGAACAAGAACAGTTACTAATTATACCACATTTCCACGCGCTTTATTGATTGAATGCCAAATTGCCGGCACAAAAGGGTTTCTTTTGTTGGAAGCTTCTTGCAAATTATTTATCCCGTGATTTTACTAGCTTGGTACAAGATTATCGTATTTAAAAGCTATCAACTATCAAATTAACACTGCGGCTTCTGACCTTTTTTGTTTGTTTTTGTTGTTGTTGGTTCAAGTATAGTGCATGCGCATAGCATTATCTCTCCCTTCCCCCCCCCCCTCTCCCCTCCCTCTCTCTCTCTCTCTCTCGCGTTCTTCTCTTTGTTTCTATTTTCCCTTTGTTAGTTATGTTTTCTTTTCCATTTCTCTCACTCTTGCATTCTTTGTCTCCACTCCCGGCTCTCTCTCTCTCTCTCTCTCTCTCATTCCCTGATTATGAAAAAGTCAACAGAATACTAATTTGTAGAGAAAATATATTTTGATTGAAATGTACAATTTTGCCATATTGAATGTTGTCAAACTATCTACGTGTAGTACAAAATAAAACAAAATAGAAACAAAATAACAACAAAACAATTTCAGTTCAAAAAGTATGAAACACGATAATATGTTACTTTATTATTTTTTTTTGGAGGGGGGGGGGGTCTAAGATATATTGCCCCTTGATTATCACCCAAGACAAGTATCCCCTAAATTGATTTTATTCTGGAGACCTGTTTAAATAATTCGGTTATCATGATGTAAGGAGTCTGTTGTCCGGGTTTACTGTATCCGGGTTAATTGCTTGATCCATAAAAGGGGTAGATATTCGGGGTCATTTTATTTTCCTCTGTTCTATTTTTTTGGGGGGTGGGATACTCATTTATAATGATAATAATAATAATAATATACTGGAATTTTAACGTGCCTAATATTATGTTTCTAGGCGCCATGGTGCTGCTGTCCCGGCAGCCATTATTTAAAGCATAGTACTTCTGTCCAATAGAGAGCTGGGACAACAGCACCAAGGTTTAATACATTGTTACATAATCCACAATATAAAATACTGATACATTGCAATAGTCATTCTGGTTACTTGTCGTTCAACCGAAAATTCATACTTCCAAAGGTTTGTATTTCCATAAAAGTCATTATTCCAAAAATGAAGTAGAGTTTGTAATTCTGAAGGTTCATAATTCCGAAAATGACATAGAACTCATTAGAGTTTTTCGGTATTTCGAATCTTCGAAATAACGGAACCCTAATTGATTTTGGGGGGTAGTCAGTTATCGGGGAGAGTTGATCTGAAGTAATTGTCCTTCGGGTAAGTTTTCTAGTTGAAAAAAACTATCTATCAATCTATCAATATATCAATAATCGTTCGTTCTGGCCTTCACATGAAATTATGGGTTGATAAAGAGAATGAGGGGGAAATGCAATAATGACAAATTCGAGTTTCAGAAGAGTTAAACAAATTAAAATTCTCATCGCGTGATGATATTTTTTCATGGCGTGATCCTGGGGCATGTCAGAGATAAAAATGCGAGCTATATTGAACGAGAACAGCTTCCGATGCCAAGATTCTTCGCGACTCTATGCAGACGTTTCTTCACATAATTGTAGAACTCGTAGTCGTTTTGCATCCTTTGTTTTAAGATGGAGAACGTTTTCGGAGAAGGCAGCCTTTTGTAGTTTGTTTTCGATTTCTGCATTGATTCATCTGGAATATGGATAGAAAGAGTGAGAGAGAGAGAGAGAGAGAGAGGGGAGAGAGAGAGAGGGGAGAGAGAGAGAGAGAGAGAGAGAGAGAGGGGAGAGAGAGAGAGAGAGAGAGAGGGGGGAGAGAGAGAGAGAGGGAGAGAGAGAGAGAGAGAGAGAGAGGGGAGAGAGAGAGAGAGAGAGAGAAGAGAAACGAGAGCAAATAATATTCGAGTATTTATCTCAAATTAATGTCGAAGGATAGTATTCAGGATCGTTGATAGCCTGTTTTCTTGATTTGATTGGGGGTTGTTAAATAAAACTTGCAGAAAAGTTCGTCAAAATGTCCATTCATTTTTTCATTATTTTTTTCCTCTCATGGTCAGAACATCTTAACAGCAAAAGCAAATTTCTATAGCGGTCCACCTATGATAATCAAACAATTCGATCCTTAAATTTGTCAGTAGGGG